TGTAGGGAAGCGAGTTAAATTTATACAGTCAAGACTCGTAATGCTGTTTCCTACATTAAGTTTTCCTTTTTCACCAGGGTCCACCATAATGAACCAGTGAACAGTATATTCTCAAATAAGTGATACCCTACTCATCTGTCATTTGGGCGTATCTCAGCAAGAACACCATTCATCCCTCTTCTCAGGAGGAACTACTACTACTAATTCTAGTAAAAGCACATGACTATTTGTCATTTTTCTTTCCCAGATTCAGGTGGACCGTACTGATTGCAGACTCTACTTCCCACGCCGGAGAACAGAGATCACTAAATAAATGGCTGCTATGGGGCACGGGGAGGAGCAGTCTGAGAACCTGCAGTAGCAGAGTGGCAAAGCCACACAACGTAGAAGCAGTTAATGACATCTAATGTGTTAGGCTGTGCTTGTCTGAGTCTGGTAGATTTCTGGCAAGAGAAGATAGGGAGAAAAGGGAAGAGAGAACCTCAGTCTGTCCAGATTTGCAGCCTGACAATAGTTACAGAAATAAACCTATTTACAAGCTTGCTGCATTTGTCTCACTACTCTTTCCAAACCCATCCATACGAATACTCTAAAAAACACTTTAACATCTTGATAGGCTTCAGACTTCCTATTCTGACATCAGCAACATGACCCAGAACTCAAGTTCACCAAGTACATGCCAACAGTAGCTGTGGAAAAAGCTGTCAGAATGAAGGGAACAAAGGGCAGGCTTCAGCCACCATTTGTAACACAACCGAACATGAATTAGACATAGTTCTGTGCAAACCATTTAATGTGTTCACACACCAGAGGTTTAAATAGAAAACAATCCTTCAACAAAACAGACAGTAAGAAGAAATTAGTGATAAGGCACTAGTTTCCACTGACTTTTTTTCTTGCCACTTGGAAACATCCAGCTTGCTCCACGGTTTGCTGCTTGATGACAGCAGAAACATATCTTGCGACACACAGAAACCCCACTGGGGAGCACAGTCCTCTTATCGTGCTCGGCTCTTCATTTTCTGCCTTGCTCTCTTTCCAGGTCTCTTCTGCAAAAAAAAAAAAAAAAGACAGATTCAGATCTTTATTTTCATGTCCTCAATCTTTGTTCTAGCTCTACAGCTTGGGGAGGATATCAAGGTGAGGATATTTGTCAGCACCTCTGGAGAGGGAGGTTTTGGGACACCGGTAGCAACAAACAGTACTTGCTAACTCCCCCCCTCATTTCCCTGCTCAGACACCGAACCACCGTCCTCAACTCTGTCTGCAACTGAATTATGCTCAGCTCCCAAAGACGGTCATTGTCACTTCCAGATGCTGGAGGCACCCATCACATACTCAGCTCTCCCTTCCAGACCAGGGCTGGCTTCCTAGCCAACCAGGATCATTTGCATGCAACATTTTACTTACATTGAGAGCTTTTTTTCCTCCTTTTCCTGCTTTTCCTGGGCCTTTGTTGTGAGCCACTTTTGACCGGAAGCTGGATACATCATTAACGCTCTCCTTCGTGTTCCACTTTGAGCCCTTCTTCTTCCCACCAAAACCAAACTTCTGATTCTTGTATCGTCTTTTGGCATTTGGTCTGAAAAACAACCAAACGGCATCATCACCTATATTCCTTTCTTCAGGAAGTTCTCAAGAAGGCACATGTACCTGCTGATGGACTCCCATCAGCCATCATAAACCTCTCCCCTTTTATTGAAGAGGCAGAAATTAGCACATTTCAGCCTCCGTTCCATGCCGGCCACAGTTTTCCTCCTCTCTAGGGACAGAAAGCCACCTCAGATTTATTTTAACAAACATTAATCAGGACAGCTTTCTCGTTCCACAAAATGAACCCCTAAAAGACTGAAAAAATCAGAGATTCTGCATTTAAATATCTTTTTTTTCTGGTCTCACCCCTTCTTTGTCCGTTGACTTGCACTGCCTTTTTTATTCCCCTGAGACGACGTCTGCTCTTCATCTAGAAAATCCAGCTTGTCAGAGAGACCTGCAAGAGCAAAGACATAACAGTTGCTCAGCTACCACCACAGAAAATAGGAATCTTCAGTCTAAGCAAGTAATAGCAACTGAAGAACAGCTACTTGAGAGGATTTTCACTGCCACTGGCGTAGGATTCTGCACAGCAGCAGCCTTTCAAGCTCACTGCCCAGCACTACAGATTGACACCACGCATCATACTGCATTATATTGCTCACACATCACTACTCCCCTTACACATTTGCTCTCTTAGACAGGTTAACTTTACCTTTCTGGTATTTCTTGACTGCATTCAACATATTTTTTTTCTCCTTTTGTCTCCTCTGCAGAATCTCAGTTTGCACCTGAGATTAGAAGCAGAACGTTAGTGTTGTTCCTTGTAGTGTCCCATACTTTTTTTTTTTAATTCCCCCCTTCTTTTTTTTAGGGTATCCCATCTTTTGCTCTGTCTTCCTTCAAAGCAGCTAGAGAGACAACTAGACAGATTCCATGTATTTCAGCCAGCCTCCTGTGGTCTCGCTTTCTAAGATCCTCACTTGGGCTCTAGAGTCTTGTCATAGATAGGTCCCTTTTGTAGCTCCTCCTCACCTTCTTGCCATATTTTCTCATCGCACGGAGCTGTTTCGCTTTCTCAGACCTCTCCATTGCTTCCTGCTTACTCTTAAGCTTCTGTCGAATCTTATTAGGGGATTGAAAAAAACAAAAGTTATCAGTAACACAAAAGAAAATATGAGAATTTTATGATTGCTGTGCAGTCCTGAAATCAATAATTACATGAGCTATCAATGAGTGTAAAAAAGAAAACAACTCTCAATCAGATCATCTGTTATAAGGCATAACATTCTTTCAACTCAAGGCTGAAACAGTTATTACAGAAACTCCTGAACTGATCTTTAGCCAAAATCTGTTTAAAAAGACAAAACTCCTGCAGAAACAAGACAAAGCCTTATAATGGGCTCTAATGGAACCGCTAAACAAGAGTATCTTGTCACATCTTGTCAGTCTACTCAGGTGTGTGTAGAAGACTTGACAGTTTCTTTCTTGTCATTATTAAAAGTAAAGCACTGAAGAAGAGTCAACAATCCTTCTGTGCCATAGAAAACATCTTTTTCATTCCCTCCTTGTTCACAAACATTTCTATAAGGATGCTGCATAATAAGGGATTACAAAGATTTCAACACAGATCTAGATTCAGTCTGTGACTCCACTAGGAGATAAAAACTCTGTTCTTCAAACAGAAACCAGCAAAAGAAGGTAACAGTAATGTGCCGAACTGATTTAAGCCCCAGGACAAGCTAATAATTAATCTTCCTAGAGAAGCTGAAGATTCTATCAGCCATCAAAACAGTGACCAAGTCATACATGAACCTCCAAATAAGACTCCAGCTCATGTTTAACTTATACAATGTAGTCTTTTTTCCAAAACTAAAACAAAAATTAGGGATCCGTTTTGAACAAAGACCACAATCAAGAAGCAAGTTTGTGAAATTCTTGTTTCCTACACAAAGCTGGCTTACTACCCATGATAGATTCATTCAATAACACATGGTTTAAAATCACAGAAAACCAAAACACACTGAGTATAAACCAAGGGTGATACTTAAATAGGGAAAAAGGATCACATTAATGCCACAGTTGACTGCAAGTCTTAGGCCAAAGAGCATAAAACACAGCCAACTTTACAACCACCGTCACACATATGGAGAAAAAGTCTCCATTTTTAATATTAAATACATTCAGGACAGAATATAAATCATGCTTTTCTACTTTACACTCAAACCTGTTATGGAAATCCCCATGTTGCACTGAAATAGCTAAACAGGAAGAAATTTCCTGCCACAAACAAAATTTCAAACACAAACATCGTCACAGGCATTTCTCAAAGAGACGAAGATAAGTATTCACAAATCACACCTCAAAGTTAGTCCCTAACACAGGCTAGAACCAACCCATAACACAAGAAAGAAAGACGTTATTCACTGCACATACCTTCTGCATCTGTTGGTCTGATTTGGCCATCTCTGCAAAGTAATCATCTGGCCTTCTAGTAGGAACTTGGAGCTTCCGCAACCTAGGTAGGGCTTCCAGGACCGCTGCCTGAGCCTGCCGGTAACTAGGGAGACAGCACAGCGCCAGCTCTGTCACTGGCTATCGGGCATATCACAGAATCATAAAATCGTTTAGGTTGGAAAAGACCTTTAAGATCGTCAAGTCCAACTGCATCTCACAGCGCTGACAGAAACTCTGCTCACATAAGCTAGCTGACACTGGGATCTAGCAAGCATTGACCTAGAATTATACCAATGCTCTGTGCCCTCCAGCATTCAGGGCTACTAAAAGCAACTTAGGTGACAGCGCAATATTAACGCTTATATCTTGCACGTACACATTTATCTAGCTTCCAGTTACAGTTTTATATGTTGGATTATAAAAGGCAAGGCAAAACACAAGAACCGCAATAACACCAAAACAAATCCACAAAGAAAAATCCATGCCCTGTGTTAAAGCCATAGTGCTGCAACCAAGGAACTTTTAAAATAAACTTTTCAGCAAAGGACGGAAGTCTGCTGCAAGGAGGGAAATTACTTCCAGTCACAAGACAAGTTCAATATACTAGCGTTAATTTGTAGTTATTCTGGAAAACATTCAGAGACATCAAATGTAAATTATATGGCCCAAGAGTGACGTGATACGGGTGACAGCCAGCGTGGCAGTCTGCAGCACACCCGCGTGGCTCCATGCACACAGCAGTATGTCAAGCCCCTATAAGGAATCTCCGGTTTTGACACTTACAAGCTCATCTCTCTCTGGAAATCATTCTCAGGGTCAACAGCATCTTTGTTAGCAGCACTCTGTGAGGCGGGATCCACGACCTGGCCCAAAGTCACATCCAGCCTCTCCACCCAAGCTAGCTGCTGCCTGAGTTCGGACAGGCACTGCTTCAGGCCGTCCTGTGAACGAAGCACAGCTCTGCACGCCGCCACACGCCACCACCTCCCCACGGCGGGCCCGGCTGAGCATCCGGGGCACACCGTGGGCCGCTCCT